GCTCGGTGGGTTAGTGGTTTTAAGTGGATTAAAAAAGTAACACAGTGTTTCTCTAACACCTACTGCAGTGCATTTAAAGGAGTTGTTTTTTAAACAATGTTTCTGGTTTTTAGTTCATAAATAACCCAGAACGGAGGTAAATATATATTTATGTATGTCTATATGTATATATGCTTATATAGTTATGTTTATATGTATATGTATGTACATATATATTTATATACATATACAGTACATATATATACACATATATTGTATATATACATATACAGTACATATATATATACACATATATTGTATAAATGTACATATATTTACATTACATACACAGTATATATGTGTATATATATTTATATATATATGGCAGTGATCATGCTGGTAGTACTGCTGGTAGAGAGACAAATATTTTCAGGGGTGGTACATGATGGAAAAAAAAGTTTGTGAAACACTGATATATGCAGTTCAACAGAAATTCCACCTATCTTTTGTTGGGGTGGAGGTACAGTACAGTACTTGTTTGCTGGAGTGCAGGAACATCACAGTTTTCTTATCAACAACCCTTAAACTTCCGATGTCTTTAGGAGTTGATACGGAGGTCGGGGTCGTGGCTGTCTTGTTATCGCTATTCAAGAATCTTTAACTCTGTGACTTGGAGGATCTGGCCAATTTCCTCAACTCTGCTTTAACAAAACTCTCTGTTTGCTCCGGTATTTTCAGACAGACGTACGTTAGGATGTTTCTATCGGTGTAGAAGAGTGTGGAGTCAAATATAAAGTTAATGAAAAAAATCAATAACAGACAGGTCTGTGCTGCCTGAACAAATATAATGAAGCACAAACCCCTTCATCTCCGTGCACAGTAGAGCAGAGTCGAAGGTGGTGCCGCATTTTTTAACGACACGATCGGTCGGTCAGTGAGACTCCAGCTGACACACCACCGCTGTGGGCTGTGGAGAAGGACTGGAGGAGAGGAGCAGACCGCTCACTACATGCAAGGCACAGGCTCAGTGGAGAGATTTTATATTGGTGTCATGAGGGCAGTGATAACTACATCCGTTATCTGCTCTCTCTCTCTCTTTCTCTCTCTCTCTCTCTTCACTACACCAAACGCTCCTTTCTATCAGTTCTGTTCATCTGCACCTCCTTACCCCAGAACTCCTCCGCTTCTGCCCTCATTCATTGTACTTTTCATTCACATATCGTAGGTTAGGTCTTCCTTAAATACAAGGGTGAGGAAGATCAGGTTGGTGTTTTATGTTCTTCAGAATATATATATATATAGTAGTTGGATATATTGAATTTTTTTAATTAGCAGATAAACACAAAGATCACCCGTGAATTTGTTTCAATATATATTTATATAACAATGTATTTTAATGAGCCAGCTGTGCACTAGATATATTAGGAGCTAACTGACCATTAGCCCTAGATTGGAACAAATTAGTAGTAGTTCAGCAAGTATGACAGATTGTTCTTCAAACATAATATAGATAGCGTCAAAGTAGGTAAAGGACATTGAGTTATTACTGAAAAAAGATATGAATTGGTTAAAAAAATAAAAATAAAAACAGCTTTACAGGTTTAAAATAACGTCAAAATAAGACAAAAGTAAAAAGGTAAAGCTAAGACGGCGTTAGCACAAATGACAAAAAAGTAGCCACAAAACGTATAAATAGAAAGCTTTCATCATTTTCTTTTTTCATAACTGAAAGTTTCATTTATCCTGTGGAGAAGAGACATAATGTTGCCCATTTAAGCTGAACACCAGCATATCATCCAGTCTCCAGCATATTCACAGAGAGCATTAGCCTTGAATGTGTCGCCGTTGACAGCTGGAATTGCAGACCCTGCTGGAAGCAGCTCCTTCCTTTGTGAGTCTTAGCAGGACATCACTCAGATCACTGCACACATGAGACTGATTTGTATGTCACTGGGTCCATCTGACTGACATCT